AAATGTGAAGTGTTACAAGATGCAAAGGAAAGAGGAGGATTGGGTTTACCAAACTTGAAATTGTATTTCACTGCTTGTTGTTTGGTCTGGATGAAAAAATGGATGTGGCTAGGACACAGAAGGCTTTTAGAGCTACAAGGTCACGACCTGAGGTTTGGGTGGCATGATTATTTATAGACATGCAATATTGAAAATATGGAATAGATATAAACCCAGGTTGTGCCCGAAAACACCTTTATGGATCTCAGCTCAAGAAACATATCATAGAAGAGAAACAGCAGACAAAAACAAATGGTTGATGCACCAGGAACTATTGGAAAACCATCAAGGGGAATTTAAAAGTAAATCAAGAGAGCAATTAATAGCAAAAGGATATAATTGTCAATGGTTTTCCCATTTACAGTTATCAGAAAGATTCAAAATGGACAAAAAAGACTTATGGTATGGAGCAAAGTAAGACAGAATTTGAAGTACAGTTGTGCACTGATGATGAACATGTAATTGTTAAAATGTATAAACTTTGGTTGAAATTTGAAACAGAGGAAGAACAGGTTAAAGAATGCGTGATAAACTGGGCTAAGAATTTTGGTTATAATATACAGATGGATCAGTGGGAAAATATGTGGTTAAAAGTATTGAAATTTATATTGTGTTATGGTCTGAAAGAGAATTTTTATAAAATGATGTATCATTGGTATATGATGCCAGAGAAATTACCTAGAATGTATAAAGGCACTTCAAATGTATGTTGGAAATACAAACAAGATGAAGGGACATTTTTATCATGCTTGGAGGACATGTAAAAAAGCTAGAAAATTTTGGATTCAAGTACGTACTTTGATACAGAGAATTTTAAAGATTAATATTTAATTGAAGTCAGGACTGTTCCTTTTAGGACTAATGGATAAACAATTAGAAAAAAGCCATGGAAGATTATTTCAATATATGATTACTGCGGAGAGATTATTATATGCACGGAGATGGAAAGATTCAACATTACGCACTATTGAGGAATGGTTGGTGAAATTGACAGATCTTGCTTTGGTGGATAAACTAACTTCTCTGATTAGAGAAAAGACACTACATTTATTGGTGACTGGAAGCCTCTTATGGACTTTTTGCGTAAAAATGAAAAAGAATGAACTCGTGATTTATGGCTTTGAGGATTAGACAGGATAATTATAGAAAGAGTATTATGATGTAACTTTAGAGAGAGAGATTAAAATATAAGTGTACTTATAACTGCTGTGAAGAATATTGGAAGCCCCTGCTTTATATCTTTGTCCTTTCCTATTTTTCTTTTTTTTCTTTTCTTGCATTTTTTGCTTTCTCTTTTTCTTTTCTTCCTTTCTTTATATTAGTTTGTATTAGTTTTTATTTCTTTTTTAAATGTTTTAAATTATATATGTATATGTATATGTATATATGTATGAATGTGTATATACTGTATATATATATAAAGTCAGTTCAGTGTGATACCTTTTGATATCGTTTTTGGAATGACTCCTACTCACATTTGGTAGAGCCCTTTTGGGGGGGAAAAGGTTCCCATCAGATAACATGATTCTTAGTAGTTCCAATTTTGCTCCCTCTTGGCCTGCCCAAATCATGAAAAGTCTGCCTGTACAAAATGTTGGAATCAGCAAAAAATTTAAATAAATGTCCATTATCTCTCTTTTTCATTCTCAGAGCGCGATTCTATAGATATACTGTACACCCCATAACAAGGAAGACATATGCTATGATTTACATTTAGAATGGTTTTAGTTTATGTCTCTTGTTTTTCAAAATAATAAAATAAAATAACCATGAATCATACACTCCCTCCCCCACACTTTCAGAAACCCATTGTGAAATTCTATTCATAGCTTATGACAGTTATTCCAGATGGAAATTTATATAATTGCTTCCTTAAAAAAGAAAGAAAGAAAGAAAGAAATGGAGTATCTTAATAAGGTGCTCTACACAATCTAGCTTCTGCTGGAAATAAGCCTGGACTGAATTTAAACATGCCTTTACCTGTAAAAATGAACAAAATTAAAATAAAAATGCTCATACCCTTTTGGGGATAAAGTCAGCCAGATTGTATAACACTAACTAACTCTGATGCTTTGGTAACAAATCCATGTTTTAAAATTATTTCTGAGAAGCAAGAATATAAGTCAATGCTGGATGAAGATCCTAAATGCATTTTCCTTGCAATATTAGCTGGATTTTGTTTTGAGTTGGAATCATTGTGGCATTTTATAAAACATGTCAAAAACAGCCATCAGAACACATAAACAATATTTACATGTACATATATTACATACATTTCACATACATAAATCAAACTGAAGTCCATTCTATGTTGCCTTGGGATAAGCTTTCAGCACGGACAATCAAGATTCATTGTCTTTTTGTATTTTATTTGTATTAGCAATGCCTTACAAGAGTCAGCATCTCCTCTCTTGCAAGCAGCAAAATATCTGCCTCAAGAACCATTTGGATGAAGAAGGGGAAAAGGGGTCTCTTCCCTTTTTTATTGAATAAACCATCTACGCTAAGCAAGCAAAAGATCTGACCACCCTTCAGTTCTATGACAACAGTTCTAAATCATTCTTATATATTCTACTTCAAGGCTTTTGAAGAAAACCAAGCTTAAATAGTCCTTGTCCTTAACTATCAAAGTATTGAGGTCATATACATTAAATCAAAGAGAAACAAAGTAGGGGTTCGCCTCCTTTTTTTAGGGCAGGTTGCAACTATATATAAACAGTCAGTTGCTTGATAAAGTTTAGAAATCTTCTCACTCAAGTTCTTTTTCCCAAAGGACACTAGGTGAAGAATAGAGAACACTGGCTTTCAAGATATCTGTGGCCTAATTGATTCAAATGCATGCTAAAAAGCATAAATTGGCAACAGAATTGGAATCAAAGATTATCTTAACATGTGAGAAGCAGACCATTAGGTAATGTCAAAATTTCTTTGCTTGGGCGTAACGTGTTATATGAACACAACCACTGCATTTCATTAACCTGGGTCTACTTATGTATATGTGCTGAGTTATGTGAACTCAGTACATATACATAGACCAAGTTGGCAATTCTTCCCCAAATTTTGTGTCAGTCACACATGTTGGACTTCAACTCCTACAATCCCTTGTGAGCACAGCCACTGGCTAGGAACTGTGGGAGTTGAAGTACAAAACACACAGAGAGCATCAGATTTCAGAAGAGCCATTAAGATGGTCCCAGTAGCCTAAAAGGGAATAACAAGTTGTTTGCTTTTTTTCACCCTAGTTCCCAGAAATGGTAAAGGCTCCTTGGAGTTCTGGTTTGTGCTCTAAATGTTTACTGCTATCATGAGAGCAAACTATATGTCCATATCTTTCTTCTCTGATAGTTTACCTCTTTTATTTTATCTACATTTCTCCCCAATTCCCACTTTGTTTTTTTTTTTTCCCCTCCTCCAGGCATAGGCTTTCAAAGCAGCCTTCCAGCCAAACAAAAACAAATTTTTCATTGGTTTGCTTGGAAAAGATACTCAAATGCCATGATGCCTCTATACCTACAAAGATCTGAATCATGCAAGCCATGGTATTCCCTGTGACAGTCGATGGAAGTGAAAGTTGGACTTTGAAGAAGCAGGATAGGAAGAGTATTGATGGTTTTGAACTTAGGTGCTGGAAAAGACTCCTGAGAATACCACAGACAGCCAAGAAAACAAACAACTAGATCATCGAACAACTCAACTCAGAATTCTCACTCAAGGTACAAATGATCAGGTTCAAGTTGTCCTACTTCAGACATATTATCCAAAGACCTAGATCTCTGGAGAAGGCTGTGATTCTGAGAAAAGTGGAAAGAAAGAGAAGAAGAGGAGGACCAGCAGCAAGATGGATGGACTCAGTTACAGTGGTGATGAATGCACAGTTGGAAAACCTGAAAGACAGGCTAGGGACAGATCGTCATGGAGAAAATAGTGGTGTGTGTTTGCTAGGCATCAACAGCAATTTGATGGCACATCATCAATCATTGGTTTGCAAAGGGACTGGGTCTTTTTAGTTGTTCTGATGAAATTTCAAGTTAGGGCTAATCAGTTTTGGCCCCTCAGCACATTTTTTTCAGGCCAATTTTTCACGTGAGAGGAAACTGGAAGATCTCCATCTTAGAATCACAGTCCTGACTAAACTGATATATGGAGGGATAATGTGCCTACTTAAGATAACTCTTCAGGCATATGGCAACATGGGTTCCAGTTCATTTGCTAATATTTAAGCTTCTATCATGATCCCCAGTTAGTTTACTGCAACTAAGAACAGACTGATTAAAGCAGTTCTTCTAGAATTTGCCGTTAAAAAAAAAACACACCTGTTTACATTAAAATAGAATTGATATCCAACATTATTTTATTTTTTTTAAAAAAATTCTCTGCGATTCACTGGTGGGATTTACACAGCATGCTTGGCTAGGTTAAAATGAGGTTGTATAATTTGCAGTTCAGCTTCTTTGGGAACCCAGCCAAAATCTTAGCATCTTGTACAAATCAAGCTATCATGTTAAATTGTACTATGATTTATTGTTTGGGCAAAACATGTTAAATAAACATAACAATAGGCTTTGGCATGATGAGTGAACCCTGCCAATGAATGTCAGCTTGATTTAACATCAAACTGATAAAATGATTCTTCTATTCACAGAAAAATAAGGGATATACCTCACATCCTAGTACATCCCAATCTCTTTCCTGTTCAAACTAACCAACACTCCACATCCAGGTTAATCAAAGACAGTTTCTTGTTTATGGGCAACCAAATACTGCAGCATATTCTTGTTTCAGAGAGGACAGTGTTGCAAAAGCTAATTCCATGCAGAGGACAAACAACTCCACAATTCACACAAGAGGGAAGTATGTTTTGAATTTGCTGATTGAAACAATGGTGCTCAAATCCCCAAAACACTGTTTCACAATTTAATGTTACTGCAGGAGGGCTGGAGTAAAAGGGAACAGAGACTTACACTGTACGATCAGTTGTACCAATGCTTCCCTTGGCTTGACGTTAAATCCATTGTATTGGCTGGTTTGACACCTGTAAGTCCCTGTCATCTCCCTTGAGACGTTGACAATCCGCAGGATCCCATCATAGCTCTCCATCTGCATTGTCCCATCTGGCATGGGAATCTCCTTGTCTGCCCTGGACCAGAGGATGATGGGCTTGGGCTTCCCGGTCACCTGGCACTGCAGTTCGATGGTATCTCCTTCTCTGGTGACCAAGGGTGACTTTTCTTGTGGAACAGTCAGGTTGGGTGGAACTTCAAATGGGTGCAAAGGGGAAAGGAAAGGAAACAAAACAAGAAGTAGAAATGAAATGGTTAGTACATGAGAGTTCCGTGACTTTGAATGTCTAATGGGACAATAGAAGGCATAATTTAGGGGTCACTCAACTAGCTAGGATGCTCTGGAAGAGTAATATTACCCCATAGCTAATCTTTTTGTAGGAGGATGAGCAGCAAAAATAAATGAATAAACCAACCAACCAGCCATCTTTCACTGATGCAGAATTATTTGTATTCAGTAAAGAGATTTTCGCATCTGAATGTATTTTGACATAGAGTTATACACAACCCAATGTAAGGAATGAGGAACAGATTGGAACCTTGCCTGTTCTCTGAGTGTCATTATTTTCTTTAAGAGGGATATTTATTTACTTTATTACAGGGAGGCATGTGAACACCCATAACTCATTGTGTGTGTGGTTCATTGACGGAATAAATCGGATGTCTGTCTCTTTCCAATTTGCGGTTTGTGTGAAATACACCATATCCTTGAGTATGTATAACAATCCATGTATCTTTGAGGTTATGTTTTGATTTTACAACACTGGAAATCAATGTAGATATCAGTACTATGGTTACCAATATTTTTCCTGGCAATATTTTATTAGTAAAGAGAAAGACTCCCTCAAGTCAAGGCTGGTCCTAGTGACCATATAACATACACACCTTTGGATTTTGGGGGGCAACAATATAAAAATGTTTCTTATTGCTTTCTTTTGGGTTGTTTTTTCAACTTCTCAATCTAGCCTATAGCCTTAGGATTTCCTTCTCATCCAGCTATTTGCAAGGTCCACCCTTCTTAACTATATTCAAACTCAGCCAAATATCAGCTCGGGGCTGCTACCTGCTCCAGCATTTTGTCCAGAGCCCCCCTCAAACCTTATAATGCCTAAGATTGCCTGTACAGACTGTCAGAGCAGCAATGGCCACAGATGTATGGTAAGAGCACATCTTGAACTTTTTCATCAGTCAGGTAGCACTGTAGATGATATAAATACTGCATATCTTTATCAATGTGCAATGGCTTTCCAACCAACATGCACCTACCAGGTCTCTCTCATACGTACTTCTCTCATGTTTTCCACTATGTTCAAAAACACATATTATCAGCATCACACTGTCTCTCGGTCTCTCTCATACGTACTTCTCTCATGTTTTCCACTATGTTCAAAAACACATATTATCAGCATCACACTGTCTCTCGGTCTCTCTCATACGTACTTCTCTCATGTTTTCCACTATGTTCAAAAACACATATTATCAGCATCACACTGTCTCTCGGTCTCTCTCATACGTACTTCTCTCATGTTTTCCACTATGTTCAAAAACACATATTATCAGCATCACACTGTCTCTCTTTTACTTTTCACTGAGAGCCTGTTCAAGACATTTGGCTGCCTAAAGTAAAAATAGGAAATTATGCCATCTCTTTCCCCAAGTGTAGTAATCCAGTTGCAGCCAAATAATTTTGCCATACCAAATGGACAATGCCAGAAATGCCTGTTCTCCTTTTCTAGCAATGTGTGTATAACATAAAATAAATAGTTATTTCTGTTTTTTCAGGAAGCAGACATTCAAGTGGACAAAGCAACTGTAGAGATAGTCCAAATCCAGAAAAATAGGGTGCTTCCTTTCTAGTGCATCACTACTTTGGGAAAGCTTGTTTTCTCAATTGACTCAATCTACTACACTGAGGAATAAAAATGTTTACAGAGACCTTTACTGACTAAAACAAATGCATACAACTAAAATAACACTATGGAAAGAATGCTGGCATTATTGTTTTTTTCCCCTTGAAATGTGAATACATTAATGCTCTTCATCAAAGAACTTGTCTTGATTTTATGATGAACACATTTGTTTGCAGATCTTGCTGTGGTACAACACTGAAAAACCAAGAATACTTTCAACTATAGTGCTACTCCTGCAGCTCCATAATAGAAATAAACACAAAAGATATATAAACAAAAGCAGCAAGAGCCATATTCAGCTCATCTAAAAACCAGCAACCTATCCAACTCCTACTCTCTGACTAAAATTAAAACATCAGCCATCAATTGTGTGGCAGAACATCACTGCTTGTGGGCATTGTTGAAAGCAACACGCTGGACAAAATGGACTACAAAGAAGGACATTTCTATTCTTACATATACTTATGGTATAATTATTAACCAAGATAACCAAATGGGGCCTCTGTGATAGAAACAATGTATCTTTGAAAGGCTCTTTGGGTGTGTTCCTTGTGAGTTTGTGGTGACCGAAAATAATAGATATGACATGGACTCTTGGCCTGAACTCATCAGAGTTCTTACCTTCTCACCATCCTCATGGAGTGAAAGAGGAGAGGGAATCAAAATGAGTCTCTACTGGTAATGCTTTCTGCATAGCAAGAACAACAACTGGGAAGGATTATTCTCCAAGTCCTCTCTGGTATTTACAGCAAGATCCTTATGCGTGATTTCAGAAGGCGAGAAGATAGATTCAGTCAAGCATGGTTTGTGTGGTTATACTGAGACAGTTCCAGAAAGGTGGTCAAAGAAGAGATAAGGTCAATTCAGTGGGATGGAGGGTGATCAGAGAAGGCCTTGTATATTTCAGTTTTTCTACTCCTTTAATATATATGGTGCAACACAATCTCTCTCTCTCTCTCCCCTTCTCTCTCTCTCCCTCCCTCTCTCTCTCTCTCTCTCTGATGGCTGAGAATAGAATACCTTTAAACAATTGGTCACTGCAGACATGTTCTCCCAACTCAGTTCTGGTGTTAAAACCAAGATGGGAGGACCAAAGATAGGAACAACCAAAGGGATATTTTTATCAGCCTATATTGGCCAAGTACGTATATACAGCTATTCCTAAAATATTTCACATTTGACACTCAATCTACTATATCTGTGTTAACACACACACACATACATGTCTATACATAGACATACCTGCATCACATATAATGGTTAATGGAATCTGTTGTTCTCCAGATACCATGCTTTTTATATAGTAATTTTATTAAACATTACAATTAAAAAGATAAAAACGAATACAAACCAAAAAATAAAAATAGAAAAAATAGAAAATGCAGAAAGAAAAAAAAAAAGAAAAATAGAAAAGAAAAATAGAAAAGAAAGAAAAAATAGGAATATAGTAAAGAAAAAGAAAAGAATTATATAAAGAAATGACACCCCCATTCATCACAACAAGTATAACAACTTTAGTAACTTATCACCTTCTCTTAAAATACAACAAATGATATCTTCTTTCCATTTCTCATCTCTTATCTATAAACAAATCCTTAAAGCCTGATCAGTCCTGATTAGGAAAAGTCCATTAAGGGTTACCAGAGATAACAACATGTCTATTTTAAACTTGATCAAATAAACCAACTTTATATGCCTTTTATTTTTAACAATCTTATCTTTAATCCCTTCAAATATTGTCCTAGAACTTGATTAGTTGTTTTTTTTTGGTCCCTCTCACAAAATTCTTCAAAGCTTTAACAAGTCTCTTTTGTAAATCCAATATAGGAAAGTTATCCAGGTCACTCTTTTAGTTATTTGTATATCCCCTTTAATTATTAAGACATCAGCCAGTTTCATTTGTATATCCAGTTTAGCATCTTTTTCCATGTCATTCTTGTAGACTGTCATTTTTAAATCCACTTTCAGATAAGTCTTGTCTGGTATAACTTGTTCCTCTTTCATAACATCCTTTAAACACAGTCTATCTATAATACTCTTAAAATTAACTTCTGGGTCCATTGTTCACAAATATCCTTCAATACGCCCAATGTTAAAATATTTTGCTACATTCTGTATTAGTATGTTAAAATTAAATGTTCTTCTCCTTTAATTGTAATCTTTAGTTCCTTCTGGCTCCCTCTAATGTCCAACCTTCAAAGTCCCATCCTATCTTTTTTTTTTTTTTTAAGAATTCAAAACAAAAGCATTTTCCCATGGGAAGGATCCTTATAATTAATTCCAAACTCTTATTTCAAATCCATCTGGACCCTTAGTCCATTTGTAAACTTTCCAAAATCAACGTTCTAATCACCCTTTTGCTGTTTATTTAAAAAAAAATTAAGTCCTTAAACTTGTATTTAAAACTTCTTTCATTAAGAATTGAAGGAAACTCACCTGGTGCTATAAAACTTGTTGATCCAAATGTTCCTAATAGCTGAAAAGCAGTTAAGAAGCAATTTCCAAAAGTGATTAGAAAAGGAAGTTTGCAAACCCTGTGTCCATAAAGGTACCAACTGTGGTTTGAGTGAAGATGGTTTTCTCTCATCTCCCAGAGCTCTAAACCCACAGGAAACTGCTGTCTTGCAGTCTCTTCGCAAGGAGCAACTATCTGGGCACTTGTGGGTGACCTCAAGTACTCTCCTTGTCTGGAGAGGAATTACAAAAAGCCAGTCCACTCACTGGCTCTTCATTCCACCGTGGTCATTGACTCCACTTTTAGCAGAGCCACCTTCAGTTCGCCATTTCTTTTCCTGAAGTCGTGTTCTCCAGATATTTTGCAATAAATTTCCTATAGAGTCAGCCATGTTGGCTAGGACAAATGGGAATGAAAGTCCAAAATATCTGGTTGGCATAAAGTTGCTTAACTGTGATGGAATGGCATGGGACTGGAAGGGGGGTAAAGAACGTGATCTCGTCTCCAGAGCAACGCACTGGAGATAAGAGGCGAAAGCTGACGCACCCCTAACATTCCAGGAGATAATGAATTCCTGTTCCTGGGAACTAGCCGGCAGTCTGAGAAGATTCTGTAAACAAGGACTAGCTAATAAACCTTGCTGACTGAACCTGTACGGTCTCCAGGAGTTCCTTGGGCTAGGCCTGACATTAACCCTAGTATAAACACATGAGAAAACCTACTTGACCTGGGATATTTTTGAGGAGATACAAATGGAAATATATGCAAATACATCTTCAAAAACCAGGAAAAAAGATCTAATATAGAATATGAACATTCCAATTCATGGTCTCTTTATATGTGAGAAGTCTAGGATGATAGTGATAACGCTGATGAAATTTTTGGGTGGGCAGGATCTACACTAGTATATTTCTCTCTTATACCTCACATCCTTCCCATCTGTAAGCTTTTTATCTCAGGAGCTATCCCATTGATCTTTGTTTCTGAACAAAGATTTGTAAAATGTTTGACTTTTGAAATTGGGAGTATAGAATTTGCAATAAATAAACAAAGCTTAAGAAAAAGACTTACTGAGATATTACATCAGGGTCATTTTGGAGTTGGGCAGCTTAGATTTGTAACAAGCAAACTGTGGCAAATTTTTCATGAGTAAAATAACAAAAGGCAAATTGTCCAGGGCATTTATTGGGGAGGTCAACAATGCCAAAATGGTGGGCACAATTGGGCAATTGAACTCCTGTTCCTTTTTTAAATATGTGCCATTTGTATTAAAATGGGGTGAGGCTCCAATTGCCTTCTCGTGTAGCCATTTTTAGGTCACTGACTCGCTCCCCACAATTGCATGTAAAGCATAATAAAAAGGCATAAGTATATTTTGCAAAACCCCTGGATTTCATCTCCCTCTGTTTATGTCCAAGAATGAAAGGAAAAGAAAACTAAACTTCTCAATTAAAAAGGGCATTTTCCCAGTCAATAAATGACAATAATAAAAGGGATGAATTTTTTGAAATGAAATTGTCACTCCAAAGAATGCTTGCAGCTTGCAAATGTCTTCACTGAGCCATTAATTATATAGCCTAGAAAATTACTTTCGTCATTACAACAACAGACACAACTGAAGAAAAAAAAACATTAATAAGCACTTCTGAACTAAAAAGAAGTAAGATTACTGCTTTCATATCCTGTCAAAGTTACCCAGAGCACACAGCAGTCCACCAGTAGGGCCAGAGACCCAGTGTCTAATAGGAGAGTGAATTTTAATTAGTAAATTTCTTTTGTACATTAAAAAGTTAGTTGAAAGAAGAGCAGCCCACCCTGACCTACCCTATCAAAACCAAAACACAGAATGTGATAGAATTTGGAGATATATTGGATAAAATATGGAAACACCCTTTCAAACTGCAAGTCATACCTTTGAAAAACAAGGAGATGGAGGCAAGTGATGTTCTGGTTGTAGAGAGAAATGATGTACTTCCAGATCAGCTAGTCAAGGTATTGGGCACCAACCTTGTTTAACCAGGCTGATGTAGGGGCTTTTCCAATCAGATGCAAATCTTGATTCTTCAATCAGCAATGGCGTTTCAGACAAACAAAGAGCCCAGCATTATATGTTTGGGATGGCTGAATTCCCACATGGTCTCAAACAGTGAATAGTCTGAGTCCTGCTACTCAAGGGTCTTTTAAATGAGATACTGAGGAGTGACCTTGGAACCCCTTTTGCACTGAAAAGATATAGGCAGTTTCCATATCAAGGACCCGAATGAGAACAGGAAGCTAGGGGAAGGATATGCATGGTCTGCCATGCTAAATCATGACCAACGAACACTTCCAGCTTCACTGAACCACCAGACAGACAGATGATAGATTTCAAAAATGAAAAATGCAAGATAAGCTGGCATTCCACAAATCCAAATGCTTGCCTCTGGCATCATATTTATTTAGAAGAATGCCTCCAAGTCACATAGACAAGAATAGAAATTGAAAAAAAAACAGTGGGAGGCTTTGAGAGGTTGCCAGTCTACCAAGCAAAAGGACAAAGGTAAGGTAAAGTGACACATAAAATCCTACAGAGTTAAGAGAGGTGGCAGGATGTATC